ATAATTTATTTTTTGAAAAATAAATCGTTACCGCAATCAAACTTTAAAGAAATCAAAACTTCCATGAAAAATGTTGCCTTTTTTGAAAATTTTTGGATAACTGTACTAAAATAAATAATTTCTTTAATTTTGCCATAACAAAATTGTGCCACAGACAATTAGCAGTTCCTACGACTGTTAAATATCAAAACCATATCTTTTGTTTTTTATGTAATAAAAGTGACTATAACTGGTAAAAATTTCATTCATTCATTTTTTTCATTTTAATTCATTTTCTATAATAGTTATGATTTTTTACATTTTAATTTAAAATTTTGCATTTTTGCATTCAAAATAACAAAGTTGGAATTAACTTCCGATATAACTGGAAGTGGCTGAAATTTGAAAATATTTTAGCTAAAAAGGCATCCTCGACAACCCTTATTTCCAAATTTTCAAATCTCTAACATGCGCAGTTTCTCTAAAACTATAACGTGCCACTCAGTTTGAAGAACCCTTTATATATTTACCAATTTTCCATTGACGACGAGAGGTCCTCCTGAATCTCCATAGCAAATTCCTTTCTTACCCGCTCCTCCAGAACAAATATTTGAGTCTGTGATGTACTCAGCGAACGTAATATTACAAACGTCGTTTGCTATAATAGAAACATTTACATATCGCAACACGTCACTGATAGCGGTAGCATTATCAGAATCGTATCCCCAACCACTTGCTATAGCCTCCGATCCCACAAAACTGTTCGAAACGTCAGCTCTACTGGGAAGCGCAATCAGTTGAACGTACTCTGTGAAAAATGGAATTAAAAAAATGTAAAGACGAATCACCGGATTTATACAGTAGAATTATTTTATCCTGTCCATCACGTGACCTGAACGAGAACGTCTCATTTATCCAAGACCTTATGTTTCGTTTCTTATTTGACTTAAAACAAGAATGATGGAACGAATAAAATAATACATACTACTGTAGGTGTGTTAACACGGAATTGAATAGGTCGAAGACATGACTATTTCACTTCTCCAAGCATTCTCATTGTGGCGATATTATCTTTCATAACATTTTGATTAAATTTTGTATATTTTTGTGTTCGTGTAATGTTAAATTTTATGTTTATGTATATATGTTTAATTTTGTAAATATCCTTTTCTTATACTCTAAAGTAATTTCTTTTGTTCACATTTCTATACTTCACTAAACCTGTACTTTCCAATAATCCCTAATAACATATCAGTTTCAGTTGCTAACCGCATGACGTTAATATTCTTTTTACTTCTAATTACATGTTTGTTATGGGTTATTGTGGTACTTTTGGGTCTATGACCATTCGCTGTTTTTGTAAGTCAAATTATTNCTAGATCGACCACTACCCCTCCTAACTCTCGTTTCTGCCTCTAATATGTCTCTGACTAGACCTTCATGTTTGAGAAGTTGTCCTACTAACCTATCTCGCCTATTTCTTATTGACTTCCTTAGAGTCCACTGTTCTCCTATTTTTTTTTAATATCACTTCATTTCTAACCTTATCTATTCACGGTATCCTCATCATTCGCCTGTAACACCACCTTTCCAACGCTTCTAACCTTTTCTTTCCCGCCGCACACACTATCCATGTTTTGCACCCGTACAGCGCCGAGCTCCAAACATACACCTTTAACAACCTTTTTCGAATTTCTAAATTAACCGTTCGCGAGCATAGAAGTAACTGTGTGCATTCTGGCCTTATTCTCTTCCTAATATTTACTTCTCCAGGTTGCCGTTCAAGCTCTATAACTGCTTATTGCTCTTTATATATGTTTCTTGATGATAAATTTTTTGTTTTACTGAGGAGTTTGAAATTTAATTAACTTTTTCTTGTGACTCTATTTGACTGACACCATTTAAACGACCTGTCTACAAAATAAATTCTAAAAATGTCGTAATATNACAAAAAAGAACAATAATTATTAGTATTTTAATATGTTTGGTGATTAATTATTAGACATAGTGAATATTTGAAGTAAAGGAAATGTAGTTACGATTGAGAATAGCTGGTGTTGGAAGATAAACCATGGCTAAATCGTTCTCTATTGTATCATTGTTATACTCTTCATGTATTGTAAAATTGGAGGTTGGAATGCGTTGTTGGGTAGTTTCATTTTGTCGAATGTTATGCGTCCCCAGTAATACTTCCAACGATATGACTCTGATAAGAAAATGAAGAGTAAAATGCTGCAAAGTACATTGAACAATGTTGTTAACAATAGAGCAAACAAATTTTTCCTTACTTATTATCCGTTTATTTTTTCTTTTTAACAAAAATACCTGTTGAAAGTTTGGTTTTGGTTAGTTTATGTTACCCTTGTCTGAAATATATGCCTACGTTGCTCTTATTTTAATAATAATTGACGTAGGCATGAGAGGCTACTTAGAGACATATTGGAAGCAGAAACGGGAGTTAAGAGGGGTAGGGGTAGACCTAGATTAGATTACTGTTAGCAAATGGATGTGGAATGTTCTAGTTATAGGAATATGCAAAAGATTATCTGAGTATAGGAAAGGCTGGAGGCGATGATGATGATGATAAGAGAATTGAAGATCTGCCCGTGCGCATAACAAGATCACTTTCCTATGTTTAGGAAGTCATAAGGGGGTATAGACTTAGTACGTGCGTTCAACCAGATCCCTGTTGCAGAAGAGGATGTTCCTAAAACAGCCATAACGACACCCTTTGGCCTCTTCGAATTTACACACATGAGCTTCGGTCTACGTAATGCTGCGCAAACCTTCCAGTGATTTATTGATGAAGTTTTGCAAGGCCTAGAATTTTGCTATGCCTACATAGACGACATTCTAGTTGCTTCGGTGTCATTGGAAGAACATTTGGACCATCTGCGGACTCTATTCGGGAGACTACAAAAATATGGAGTAGTCATCAATCCATCCAAGTGCGTATTCGGTGAATCGGAAGTCAAATTTCTTGGCTACTGTGTTTCCGGAACCGGCACACACCCGTTGCCCAAAAAGTGGGTGCAATTCGATCCTTTCCGCTCCCGCAGACCGTCAAGAAGCTTCGCCAATTTCTTGGCATGGTAAATTTCTATCGGAGGTTCGTACCGAAGGCAGCGGAAATACAAGCGCCACTTAACGACCTTCTACAAGGCAACGTGAAGGGAAATCATCCAGTAGCTTGTACCCCAGAAGCTACTCAGGCATTCGAAGCTTACAAAGAATCCCTATCGCAAGCTACGCTGCTTGCCCACCCGAAGATGAACGTAACCTTGGCAATTTTTACCGATGCCTCGGACTACGCCGTCGGAGCCGTTCTGCAACAGCTTGTGGACAACAATTGGCAGCCTTTAGATTTCTTTTCTAAGAAATTAAGTCCTGCCGAGCTAAACTACGCTGCTTATGACCGCGAGTTGTTAGCAATTTATCTCGCGGTGAAACACTTTCGGTATGTGGTGGAAGGTCGGACATTTACCATCTTTACCGATCACAAACCGATCGTATATGCCTTCCGGAAAAAGCACGACCAATGTTCTCCACGACAAGTCCGGCATCTTGACTTTATATCCCAATTTTCGAGTGACATCAGACACATTTCCGGCGCGGATAATGTTGTCGCAGATACCCTGTCCCGTATAGAAGAGCTGCACGCTACATTGGACTACAAAGCACTCGCCGAAGCACAAAAAACGGACCCAGAATTGAAGGAATTCCTCAACAATGATTCCTCAATGAAGTTGAAGCTCCTACAACTACCAGGCACCGACACATCAGTTTTTTGTGATGTTTCCATGCGCGCCGCCCGTCCGTTCATCACAAAAGCTTTTCGTAAAGCTGCATTCCACTCCACCCATGACCTTTCCCACCCGGGGATTAACGCGACGGTCAAACTTGTGACGAAACGTTACATATGGCCGTCCGTCAAAAAGGATGTCAGACAGTGGGCCCGCTCCTGTGTACCGTGTCAACGCTCGAAGGTTTCCCGACACGTATCTGCTCCAGTAGGTACATTTTCGCCAACATCAGCGAGGTTTGACCATATACACATCGACATTGTCATCATGCCGTCGTCTGAAGGATGCAGGTACTGTCTTACGATGGTTGATCGTTACTCCAGGTGGCCTGAAGCAGTCCCTATCCCTGACCAGGAGGCAGCAACCGTCGCTCGCGCCTTCTACAGTAATTGGATCGCCAGATTTGGGACTCTATTACGTATCACCTCCGACCAGGGCAGACAATTCGAGTCGTACGTTTTTAAGCAGTTAAACCGCTTATTAGGTACGACTCATCTTCGAACTACTGCTTACCATCCCTCAGCCAACGGCATGGTAGAACGGCTCCACAGACGGCTTAAAGCAGCCATAATGTGTCACCAGACCAGTTCCTGGACGCGAACTCTGCCGACCGTTCTACTAGGGATTTGTTCTGCCTCGAAAGAGGACTTGCAAGCCACCACAGCGGAGCTATTGTACGGAGAGACGTTACGACTTCCTGGGGAATTTTTAGGATCACATCCCGATTTTAAAACCCACGAGGACGCCTCCGAATTCGTCAAGAAACTCCGTACAATACAACAGCAGTTACGACCGACCCAAGAACGACGCCATGGGGATAGAAAAACCTTTATCTTTAAAGACCTAAGATAATTCTTTTTCACACCACATTACAGGTAGAGAAATAAACAAATTATTAGTCTGTTTATTGGATAAATTATAGTCGGTAACTTTTGATTTTATTTCAAAAACGATTAATTTTTGTTTATTTTTATTATTACAACTTTTTTTTGTTTGAAATTGTTATAATAACACAAAAATTATTACAAAATTGTTAAATATTTGATTGTTTGTTGATTCTTCGTATATAATTTTCCTTTTTATTGTAAATCTTTTTTATTTATGCTTGCGCCGAATGTGATCCTTACAAGAGCATTCATCGTGAACTGTCCCTTTCGATTTCTTCTAGGATTATAATCGTATTAATGCTATAATCAGTAACAAAACTGAAAGACGTCTTGGACAAACTCTAGAATCTGCAGCAGTTCTGGCGTCACGCTATCGAGACCGGTAAAACGTACACTTTAAACTTTCCCAACACAACTTTCTTCCGTCTTAATTTCTCGTCAAAACTGTCTTTATTTCATCGGTTAGCGACCCATTCAAGCTTGACAGCTTTTGATTTCCTGCTGCTTCTCCTGATAAAGCACCGAATGCTGATAATCAAGCGAATACCTAGTGGTATTAAATGGAGTCGAGTAATTTTTTCTGATTCTAATTCGAGATTATTTCAGTAGGGAACGTCATAACTGCATTGATTGTTTGTATCTTTGCCAAACAGGCACACATATTCCTAAGCACCTAATTAGTGATAATGCAAAGCTTATTATATTATATTCAAATAGGATGAGCTCAATCTTAAGCATGTTTATTCGGATCACGTTAATACTTCATATGCCGTTTGAAATGTTTAAATCCATTTATAGAGTGTTTTGGGTTTATGTTTTTAACCGGTTGCTATTGTAAACGTTTTGATCAATATATAGGGTTGTTCGGAATGTCATTTCGTTTTTTCCCGACAGAGGATTTAATTGTATTCTTTTGCACCCAACTTCACATTTAAGCCGTATAATTTTTATATGCTTTAAGAGCTCATATAGCAAGGCTTGTGTGTGAAAAATTCCAATTTATTCTACGCAGTAGTTTTTGGTTGGTGCCCTTTTAAATATGGAGAGCGA